TCCCGGGAGGGGGGGCTGTGGTGCATCCCCTGGAGATGTTGGGCTGGGGGCTGCGGTGTGTCCCCTGTAATATTGGGTTGGCGGCCACGACCTGTCCCCCTGAGCCTCTGGGACAAGGTCTGTGGCGTGTCCCCGGGGAGCACAAGCGATTGCTGTGACATGTTCCCTGGGATGTGGGGAAGGCTGTGGGGTGTCCATGGGGGCGTGGGGCATAGCCGGGGGCCTGCGTGTGGCCAGGGCAGGGTGCTGGGGGTGGGTGTCCCGCTCTGAGCGGGCGCGGGGGTCGCCGACGGGCAGCAGGTTGGGGCTGGGTGGGGAGGCACTTCTGGAGGGTGCTGCTGGCGATGTGCTGGTGCTGTAATGGGGGTGTTGTGCTTGTTCTCGCTCCCCCTTTCTCCTTGCCGTGGCAGCATTTGGGTGTTGGAACGCCGAGATTGGTAAGTCCTTCCTCAGGTACAGCTACACTCAATGCCGGCTTTGCGGTGCTGCGGGCTCGACCCTTGCCTTTGCGCGGGGAATGAGTACTTCAGCTCACACCTGCCGAAAAGTTGTGTGTGTGTGTTCCTGCTTCAGAAATCAGCGGCTGTAAAATGGTGGTTGCCCCATGCGGGCTGTGGTGTTGCTGGGCATTCAGAGCTCCCAGAAAATGGTATCCCCGAGCTCCCCATTCCTCGGGTGGCTGCAGGATGCAGGTGCTGAAGGCAGGAGCAGCACAGGCTCCTCACTGTTTTGTCCTCAGTGTTGGGCTTTTCCCTTGTTTGAAACAGCCTGGGACAGCAGAGCTGTTTATAAAAGCCACGCTGTGACGGTTGTTACTGGTGTTTTCCTGCTTAAAGATTCCCCTTGGGCCTCCGTTAACAGAAACCCCTGTTCTGTGTTTGCAGGGGCTCAGTGCTACTTGCTTGTCAGCAATGGCAAAGCCTCAGAGCAAGGATTCTGGACTGAAGGAGAAGTTCAAGAATCTCCTGGGGCTGGGAACATCCCGGGGAAGTTCAAAGTCATCAGAGGGCAAGCAAACAGAGTTTATCATCACTGCAGAAATACTCAAGGTGTGAGAACTGACCATAGTAAAGGTGGGGATATCAGGCTTGGATTACCTGAGCTGGGAGGATCGGAAGGAGGGCTTGCTCATCTCCTTTTTGTTTTGACATTTATTCCTTCTCCGATCATGCCTTTTTACCTTATCTCTCAATTTATTTTCCAGTGAAATGGATGTAAAACTCACCTACTTTGAAATTACATCATTTTAATTATTCAGTGTTTGAATACTTTTGAGATATTTGATAGGATGGTGTTGTCTTATGTCAGGTTACAGGGAGTTTCCTCAAAATACATTGCTCTTTTTTTATAATCTCAGCTTGATGCAGTTTATGTGATGGCAGTTAGCACAAGCTGGAAACTGTTTCTATTTTATGAAAATCTTGCAATTTTGTGAAATTAAAAAAAAAAAAAAAATTGATTCCAGTAATTTGTATAGCGAGTATGTAAGCAGAATAATTGGCACACAGGGAGGAAAATGCATAAAAGGGAGGAGACCAGAATCCTTCCCTGTCTGTGCTGGAGCAGCCAAGCTCTTACCTGCTCTGGAGCCAGACTTATTGTCCCTCCTTTCTCTGCCCTTCTGTGAATGGGGTGAGTGCCACAGCCAGTGAGTTATTACCTTTCCTGAAGAAAATGTGTTCTGTCTTGGAGGTGAAAAGCTGCTTGGCTCCAGTTCTTTGAAAGTTCTAGTTTTGACAAATCATTTGCTAATGGAAAAAAGGTTTTGGAGAAATTTCTGAAAAGCTCTAGTGATGACTAGATCATTTTGGAGAAACGTGTAATTTATTTTTCAGTGGTTCATGATCCCCTTTGAGAAATGGATAAGTGTTTCTAGTAATATAAACTGTTAGCTTATTTCTACATTTCTTTCTAGGAACTGAGCATAGAATGTGGATTAAGTAATAGGATACGAGCAATCAGTCAAATCTGTGAAGTGGCAAAAACAAAAAAAATTGAAGAGGTAAGTTTCAAAGTGTTCAGTGACTATTGGAAGGATGAAAATTTAAGCAACAGCTTTTAACCTATTGTAAGAGGCTTCTGTAGTTTAGACTGCCTTTTAAAATTTATAATCCCGGAAGCTGTTTTGTGCTGTCCAAACCTCTAAAGGGATGGCTCACATGCCAAGAAATTAGTCTTGTCCAGCCTGTCAGCTGTGGAGCAGAGAGGACATAGCTGACAAGCTTCCTGAACTGGATGGAAGAAGAATGCTGTGAATATTCAGGGCTGTTCAGGACAGTTCACAGGAGTTGATGTCAATCCTGTATGAGAGGGGTTTGCTAACTCCTTGTATCTTGTTAATAAGCAAACTCAAACTGATTTTAAACTCATCTTGTATTTGATTGAAGGTTTCTACACAAATATTCACACTGAAGTGTGTGAGTGAAGAACTTCAGTTACTGGGGTGCAGGTTGTCACATAGGATGGGATTTGTGTGTCTCGTGATTTGTCAGAGAACTCCAGACATGAAATCCCTAGAGATCTTGTTCGTTAACTTGCCATAATTAATGACTGATGTACCGGGTAAAGATCCCAGAAGCAGCTTAATTTTCCTACTACTGCCTGTCTCCTGGGTTTGTTTGCAGCATGCAGTGGAAGCAATATGGAAAGTGGTAGCTGATATGCTCCAGCCAGAGCGCCCCGTCGAAGCCAGACATGCTGTTCTTCATCTGCTGAAGTCAATCGTCCAAGGACAGGTGAAAACAAACAAACTATAAAAAACCACTACACTTAAACTAGGGTTTGTGCAGAGTATGAACATGAAAAATATTGGGTGGCTCTTTTCTACAGATTTCCACGTTTCTTAGTTTGGTTGTGCCTAGTAAATGGGAAGAAGCATTTTAAGTCAAGTCTTGGTTTGACCTCATAACACAACTTTTCATACAACTCACAGAAAACCTTTCTGTTTTGGGGCAGTGTTCTTGAAAAAGAGGAAATACTTTGGTTTAAGTTCAGCATAGTACAGCAAATTTTATATGGTCTTTGCCCAGACCTATTAGTCTTAGTCTGCAGCTGGTTTTGATGTTTCAGCATGTCAAGTATGCAAGAAGTTCTGTCTGAGACACTTGGCCAGGCTAGGAAAGTTAAGCATACTGTGAATTCCTCAGATTCCACAATGTGCTATACAAACGTAAGACTGTATCAGTGTCCTGAAGAAGCAGGGGTAGATGCTTACGAAAAGAATAGGCGTTGGTTCTGGTTTGTTGGCTTGGGTTTTTTTTAAATGCTCTACTGGCAGTGCTGGCAGTTGTGGTTTCCATGGATTACTTTGTGTACTGGATGCTGTCTGTGTGTTGCTGGACAAAATGCCTCCATTCCTGAGTGCTGATACAACAGACTGAGAAGACATGAGCCTTTGTCAGTAGCCAGTTGAGGTTGGAGGTATTTTCAGGAGACTTTCATAGCCTGTCAGAAAAGAAAATAATTGCAGGCATGAAGATTACTGTTATAGACCTTGGTAAGGTCCAGGCATTCACTGTTATTCCCCCCTGCCCCTCCTTTTTTTTTAGGGTGAGCGATTAGGGATTCTCAGAGCACATTTTTTTAAGGTTATTAAGGACTATCCCTCCAACGAAGACTTGCATGAACGGCTTGAAGTGTTCAAGGCTCTAACGGAGAATGGACGGTACATCACCTACTTAGAAGAAGAGTTAGGTGAGTATTGTCTGTACCCCTCTTCAATTTGGTGGGAGTAAGTCAAGGGACAGGCACTTAGTGATACAAGAAAAAGGCAGTGATAACACATCTGCATAGAAAGCATGTTGTAACCACTTGTTTTCCTTTTTTAGCTGACTTTGTACTACAGTGGATGGATGTTGGTTTGTCTTCTGAGTTTCTTCTGGTTTTAGTGAACCTGGTGAAATTCAATAGCTGCTATCTGGAAGACTATGTAGCTGACATGGTCCAGTAAGTTGGTTTTTGTTTTTTTACTCCTACGTGCTTATTCTTAGTAAATTACAGGAGGCAGCTGCAGATCAATATACAGATAAGTAGAATCTTTTTTGACCAATCTGGTTCTGTTTCATTCCAGGTCATACCTTACATTTCTCACAATTATTTGCTTTTCAGTTCTTAAAATTTCCAGGTCTGTTTTAGTTTAACTGCATGTGCTTGCCCCATTCCATGCCGTGGGACCTGACTTCATTGCTTAGTCTCACAAAGGGTCTCTGCTGCTGTGTTAGTGTAGGCAAACTGAGTTGCATTTAAGTGCAACTTAAAGCTAACTTTATAAAGGAGGTTGTAGTGTTCAGTGTCTGTAGGAGTGGTATCAACAATGCCACAGTAAGGGGAATGATGGGTAAAATAACATGCCAGTTTACTTGTCTGGTTTGGTTCTTCGTAATTTGCCTAATATTAAGCAAACAATTACAATTAGATGTTCTTTCCTAACAGCAAGATATGCCTCTTGTGCATTCAGACTTCATCATCTGTGGACATAGAGGTCAGTAATTTGAGTCTTTCTTAATATTTTAGAGTTCTTTGTAATTCTTTGAAGCTGTAACTTTTGCAGATAAAATCAGATCACAGACTCTCAGTTTATTCTCATCTTACAAGAGA